AGCTAGCCAGTTGGAACCCACAGGCTGCTCCTCAAAAATTCTATATAGGGTTGTTATGAGTCAGAAACAACTCAACAGCACTTAACAGCAACATTATTTTAATAGTAGAAACTCTAAAATGTAGCGCTTAAAGGAATAATCCTAACTAGTAGGAATATGTGCTTCATAGAACCTGGAGTTCAATACTTTTCAAAAAAGGAGGGAGGGGACAAATGTCCTAAATAATTCCTATTAGAATCTCCAGAATGGTATGGGTTTAAAAATGAGCAATATTGATGTCAATTCCTATGGAAGGTAGCTGGAAATGCTAGTTTGGAGCCATCTCGTAATGTCCTTTAATGCCAGATGGGCACATGTGGCTTTACAGGTTGTGCCTTGCCCAATCACTGAGTTGTAATTCACAATCTGCTAAATGCACAGTTTGAGCAGTGGCAAATCATATTGCATGATGAAGGTACTAGTCCACAGGGCTTTTGAATGGAATTTGTATAGCAATAGAGTGTTTTACATTTTTCCCCAGTTGGATAATTATAGGATTATTGTTGAAATTTAGGAATTTAATCTAGCAATGTTATATAAATTACTCCTAATTCATAATACACCATTCTGTTGTTGTTAGTGTTGTTAAGTGCTGTTGAGCTGGTATCTACTTATAGCGACCCTATGTACAACACAAAGAGACACTGTCAATCTAGCAATCGTTGCTATGCTTGAGCCCATTGCTATTGCTACTGTGTCAGTCCATCCCTTTTTAACTGACCCTCCACTTGACCAAGCTTAACGTCCTTCTCCAGGGGCTGTTCCCTCCTGATAATATGTGCGAAGTATGAGACACTAAGTCTGGCCATAAGGGCTTCCAAGGAGCATTCTGGCTCACAACTTTTTTAATTTTAAAACATTTAGCATTCCCTTGTTCTCTCTGAACAACTGCCTCTTGGTCAATACACAGGTTCATCATGAGCACAATTAAGTGTTCCAGAATACTCATACTTCTCAATGTTGTCCATAGCTTGTCATGATCTACTCAACTGAAAGCCTTCATATAGTCAATAAAGCACAGGTACCCATCTTTCTGGTACTCTCTGCTTTCAGCCAAGGTCTATCTGATATCAGAAATGTTATCCCTCATTCAATGTCTTCTTCTGAAACTGGCCTGAATCTCTGGAAATTCTCTGTCAACATATGGTTGCAAGTATTTTTGGATTATTTTTATAAGTAAAACTTTACTCAAAAGGGGTGTCAATGATACTGCCCAATGATTTCCACATTCCATTAGGTCACCTCTATTTGGAATGGGCACAAATATGGACCTCTTCCAGTCAGTTGGCCAGTTGTTGTTGTTGTCAGGTGCCATCGAGTCGGAACCGACTCATAGTGACCCCATGCACAGCAGAACGAAACCACTGCTATGAATAGCAGTTGGCCAGTTAGTTGACCTCTAAATTTCTTGACATAGTAGAGTAAGTGTTTCAAGTGACACATCAGTTTGTTGAAAGATTTCAATTTGTTTTCCATCTATTCCTGTTGCTTTGTTCTTTGCCAATGATTTCAGTATACCTTGGACTTCTTCCTTCAGGATCATTGGCTCTTGATCATATGCTACATTTTTAAATGGTTGAACATCAACCATTTCTTTTTGGTACAGTGACTGTGTTCCTTCCGTCTTCTTTTGATGCTTTCTGCATCATTTAATATTTGCCCATTCGGTCCTTCAATTACGCAAGTGGAGGCTTGAATTTTTTTCTTGAGTTCCCTTAATTTGAGATGCCATATTATTTCTCACATAATTCAGCTTCTCAGATTATTTTCTCAGCATACATACTAACTATGGTGAAACAATACAAGCCTGGTACAAGCTTTTACTAATTTAAAACTATGCAGTGGCCTCTTGTTCTGGAGAACAACTGTCTCTTGGTCTATGTGTAGGATCCTCATGAGCAAAATTAAGTATTCCAGAATACTCAGTCTCTGAAATGTCGTCCATAGATTATCATGAACCACATTATCTTAAATTTTTGCATAGACACAAAAGCACATGTAAACAATTTTCTGATATTCATTGCATGTACCCAAGATCTTTCTTACATAAGCAATTGTATCCCTCATTTTACATCCTCATCTGAATCTGTCCTGAACTTCTGGCAGATTCCTATCAGTGTACTGTTACAGCCTTTTTCAAAAATTATCTTAAGCAAAATTTTACTTGCATGTGATATTAATGATATTGTTCAATGTTTTCTGTATTCTATTGGGTCACCTCTCTTTGGAATGAGCACAAATATGGATAATTTCATATCAATTGGCCAGATAGTTGTCTTCCAAATTTCTTGACATAAGTGAGTGAGTGCCTCCAGTGCTGCAGCAATTTGGTGAAAGATTTCCTTTAGTTTTCCATCCATTCCTGGAGCCTCATTCTTTGCCTATGCCTTCAGTGCACCTTGAACTTCTTCCTTCAGTATCATTGACTCTTGGTCATATTGCTACCTTATGTTTAAACATCATCCATTCTTTGTGGATTAGAAACTCTGTATATTCTTTCCATATTATTTTGATGCTTTTGCATCACTCTGTATTTTGTTCACTTGTTATTTTTGTTGTTGTTAAGTGCCATAAGTCAGTTCCTACCCATTGTGACCCTGTATAGTGTTTCCAAGGGGTAGCTGGGGAGCTTGAGGCACTGACTTTGAGGTGCAAACAAACTTTGTGGTCCAGCACATTAACCTACAGGGCTACACCACTACTCCATTTTGTCCATGTTGTTGTTGGTAAGTGCCGCTGAGTCGATTCTAACCCATAGCGACCCTGTATAGGATTTCCAAGGAGCAATTGATGAGTTTGAACTGCCAACCTTGCAGTTCAAATGGCTTTGCTGTCTGGTACATTAACCCACAGTGCACTACCAGGACTCTAGCCATTTGATATTGCAGTTTGAGGATCGAATTTTTTCTTGAGTTCTTTCAGATTCAGTAAAGTATATTAATCCCTTTGGTTTTCTAACTCCAGGCCTTTGCACATTTCATTATAATATTTGACTTTGTCTTCTTGAGCTACCCTTTGATATTTTTAAACCAGCACTATTACCTCCACTCTCCTTCCACTCACTTTAATATCTTCATTCTGGAATCTCTTCTCTATCCATTTTGGTCTTTTCCTTCTTTCTTGTATTTTTTATCACCATTTGTTTGCTTCCTGTATGATGTTCTCAATGTCTTTCCACAACTCATTTTTTCTTAGGTCCTTAGTGTCTAATTCATCAAATCTATACTTGAGATGATCTCTAAATTCAGGTGGGATATGTTAAAGGTCATATTTTGGCTCTCATGGACTTAAATTTTTTTTTTTTTTAAGCATATCGCCTTGCATATGAGCAGTTGATGATCTGTTCCACTGCCTGTCCCTGACCTTGTTTTTGCTGATGATATGGAGCTTTTCCAGCATCTCTTTCCATGCAGATGTAGTCAGTTTGATTTTTATGTATTCCATCTGGTGAGGCTCATGTTTATGGTCATCATTTCTGTTGTTTCAAACAGGTTTTTGCAATGAAGAAGTCATTGGTCTTATGAACTTCTATCATGTGATCTCCAGAATCATTTATATCACCAAGACCGTATATTCCAAGTACTGAGTCTTCCTCTTTGTTTCTAATCTTTACATTTCAATTACTGGTAATTATGGATGCATCTTGGTTGCATGTTTAATCAATTTCAGACTGAAGAAGTTGGTCAAATTCATCAATGTCATCATCACTGGCTTTAGTGATATGTTCTTTTTGATGATGATTGCAATGTCATTCGTCTTTAATTTGTCATTCCCATCATAGTAAACTCAGTGATTGTTAGATTCACAAAAGTCACTTCTGGTCCATTTCAGCTCACTAATGCATAGGATTTCGGTGTTTATGCATTTCATTTCACTTTTTAATGCTTCAAAACTTTCCAGATTCATACTTCCTAAATACCATTTTCCATACTTCATACATTTTAGATTCCATTTCATACATTCCATACTGCACTATGAGAAACTGACTAAAGAGTGAGGGAAATATAGTTATAGGATAAACCACATTTGGAGATCTGATAGAGGGATAAACTGCATTTATTACTTTATACGGAATGGAGAGAAGAAAGCACAGATGACTCTGAATGTTTCTTCTTATTTTGAGTTGTACCTCATTAGCAAATGAAAGTCCTGAAAGTTTTACTCCATTCATGTGTCACAGTCAACTCAGAGGAGGCAGTTCTTCGCCAGTTGTATTATGAGTGCCTTCCAACCTGAGGGGCTGATCTTTCAGGACTGTATCTGACAATATTCTGTTGTTCTTCATCATGTTCAAATATTCAGTATTCTTGTGCTAGCAGTGTTGTTGTTAAGTGCCCACGAGTTGGTCTGACTCATGGCAACCCTATATAGGATTTCTGAGGAGGGGCTGGTAAGTTTGAACCGCTAGCCTTGTGGTTCAAACTAACTTTGTGAATGAGTACTTGTCCTACAATTCAACTGCTATTCATAAGGCTCTCAGTAACTAAATATTCAGAAGTAGTCTGTCTTTCCTTTTTCCTGAAAGTCCAGCTGAAACTTGTCACTGTGGATGACTCTTTGCTATTGTCAGGTGCTATCAAGTCGGTACTGACTCACAGAGGCAAAGCTTCCAGAATCACAGTAACACACAAGTATAAGAAACTGACTGAAGAGTTGGGGGAAATACAGTTATAGGATAAACCAAATTTAGGGATCTGCTAAAGGAGTAAACCCAGTTTGTTAAGTTATGTAGAAAGGAGAGAAGAAAGTATAGATGACTCTAAAACATTTTCTCAAATGATCATAAGAATTTTTGTACCTGATAAAAATCCTAAGGTCATGATTGCGATGACTGTTACTGGTAGAGATATAATTATTTATCTTTAGAAGATTTCAACTTATTTGTACATAATATTTTCATGTTGAATGTGTAAATAGCTATAATTTTCCCTATAATGTACAAATTGTTTTGTCTTTTTCAGGCTGAAGTTATCGATGTGAGTTATGGAACTGCAGATGATTTAAAAAGGGTTAAAAAACTGAAAAATGCAACAAACCAGATTGCACTTCTGAAATTAGGAAAATTGCCGCTACTTTATAAGGTTAGTGAACTAGCTATAATTCTGTGGTGGAATAAATTGCTTGGTTTGCTTGTTGGAGGTCTATTTCTTTGTGAGTGTGAAGTGTGTGTATGTGTGTTGAGAGGAGGTGAGAGAATGAGACAAAGAGTGTCACAGAAAGAATCATAGAAAGATGGCTTTCCAAAAATAGAAGTTTAAGTTAAATTATTTACAAAAAATAAATTGATGTTTTTATTCTATGAGACAGGAGATACCATATTCTACAAGACCAGTATTGGTGCATTTGTGCATAGAATTGTCATGCTTTTCATAATAGTACCTGTCTGGATGCTAGAAATGAGAGTCACAGTGTCCTCCCCTAGTGACATATGTGAAACTTGTAGTCTATTATCAAAACTGAATAATTATCATGTGCTTTATGTTAGAATCGTATCTAACTGATTTACACTCCTTGGTGATTGATTTTGTCAACTGAATAGCTTCACAGTTACTGACTGTGCTCCGGAATTTAATTAAAATATAATGTGCTAAGGAGAAGCAGAATTTTGATTTATTTTATTTAAATTGAAGTTTATTAACACTCATCCACTAGATGCATTTACATAATTAAAGCATTTCAATCTAAGTGTCTGATAATGAGCTATTGCATTAGACAACTAGTACTGTTCATTTGTGTTTTGTTTTTCTATTTAAAAAATAATGGTCACTGTGATTAAGTCACTGGAACTCCTTGTTCCTGAAGATGTGCTGGATTTTTCCTTATCGAACTCTAAGAGAACTCTGCAAATATCCAGGTCCAAAAATGTTTTCAGAAATCTGTTATCATACTCTATAAGGAGACAAGAGAACATCCTATGGCTATTTTTCATTCTCTTCTATGGATGATATATACTTGAATAATTCTGATAGCTGATAACTGTCCAGAATTTAAAGATAGTATTCAAAATATAATATGCATTGATAATAAATTCTTGTATGCTAATTTGCAATAGATATCAAATTATTTATAATATTTCTATTTTGGTCAGAATTTCAGTTCAGTCAATGTATTCTATGGAAGAATAAATATGATAAGCGCAATTATGACTAATGACGTTGTAAAATGTTAGAAGTTACAATTATCAGTATAGTCTGGAAAACTATGCTGCATGAATGCTACTGAACACAGTAACAGTGTATAGAAAAATATTTAATATAGGTAAAAATGCTTATGATTAAAACAGTTTGTAAAAATTGTGTTTATAATATAACAAATATTTTACATATTGAAATAGATTGTAATATTAAAGATTATATTACTACTGCTTCTAAAGGTAATATTTGACATATGGCCCAGACATTTTTCTAAGTATTTATTACAAATTAGTGAAACCCGTGAGACCTGGAACTCGATGGACAACCTTGTTTATTGGGGGGGGGGGGGGTGTCTCACAAATATTTTGCCTTTGACAAGGTGCATTCTTACCACATTCTTACCACTTTTCTATTTCTCATTTTAATGGAAAATATTTGATTTTTCTTCTCTGAGAAGTTTCAACCTTATACTGGTTCTAGCTTCTTCAGTTTATACTGTATCTCATTTGATATTTACAATAACCATTTGTTGAGACAGGTTATGATAAATATCAGTTTATTTTATTTAGTTTACAAATGCAGTAACTAGGGCAGATAAAGAATAAGTGACTTGAAAATGCAATGCTAGTTACATGAAAATAGCATATAGCCTCATTTTAGGTTACAACCCTTTAATGTGTATGTGTGTGTTTAAAGAAAATCATTATAGATTTTGTTTAAATCCCTGACACTTACCTGGGGTATAATAGATTTGTATATAGTGGGGAGAACATTTTATGAAGAGAATTTTTGGAGGATTTTGAAGTAAATTCTACTGCAAGCCTGGTGACTGAGTCTTCATTGGAATTACATGGAAATCTTAATGCATATCTTCTACAGTTTGGGGGTCATCATAGGGTGGTGTCTAAGTCCATATGAGAAATCTAAAGTAAGAAACGAGTTGGCTCTGTTTCTAGTGGATCGTGAACAAAAAGAGTGTTTATGTTGGGACCGGCCTGCATCCTCACAGCTGAGGTTCAGAAAAATACTCTTCTGCTTCCTATGGCTCAGATGTGGACACACGTGAGAGAAATCCAGTGTACTTCCGCTTGGCGTGGTGATGCTTGAGTCAGTGATCAGTCAGTATAACAGTTGTATTTTCTTGATAAGTTGCAGCAGGATGTACTTCAAAAAATTAACAGTATGACCACCTGATCCAAACTCAGCTTTAAATATCTGTGAGCCCCAGAGTGCATGAAACAATCTTAGCATAAAGTTGGTAAAGTAAGAAAAATTCTACCCACCTAAATTCCGATGTCCATGTCTTCTCCAACACCAAAGGGGTAAGGGTGTTATGAATACCTATGGAGGAAATTAGAGCAGACCCCACCTTTTCCCTAGCAGCATACAAGAACTAGTGAAGGACAAGAAGATGAAATTTTAAATCCAGGGTAAAGTTTTGAAAATATGAGACTGTTTTTTCAAGTTACTGAAGACTGACACATGACTCAAATTGACTACAGGATTTGTTACCAGTAATCAGATGATTGGAGTACTGGTATGGCACCGTTTACCTCAAAGTCTGTTTGAACCACAGGGTCAGTGGTTCAATTCACCACTGCTCCTCGGAAACCTTATACAAACTCACTATGAGTCAAAGCTGACAAAAAGGCACTTAGAATAACAAATCAAATGATTAATAAGACAGTATATATTTTCATTTAGGTGGCTGGAAAAGGATGTGCCCCTCTCTATAAATTTTGAAAGAACAGTGAAAAGAAAATAACATTGCTTTGAACATATAACTTGAATTCTACTTGTTCAACTGATGAACAACTTATATGACTAAAATGTTGTTCTTCCTGTTAAGTGCTATCAAGTCTCTTCCAACTCACAGTGACTCTCTATAGGGTTTCTGAGGAGTGAATGGAGAGTTTGAACTGCCAACCTTGTGGTTCAAACTGACCTTGTGGTCCAGTGTTTACCCTACAATACCAGGACTCTGAAACATTATATGTGGTGGGGGCAATTCTATAATTGGTTAGATAAAATTATGGATGTTTTCTATTTTTTTCTTTATACTTTACTGTATTTCTAAATGCAGTATGATGAGTGCTAAATATTTTCTCCACAATATATTTAAAGAATAAAGCTTTTAAAATATTTTAAGTTTAATAATTTTTATAACAGTTGTAGAAGGATGAATATCATACTCAAAGTTCTGACAGCATATTTTGGGTTGAAACAAAGCAAGTTACTCTGCATCTGACTGCACTAGAGAATATGTACCTTATGAAACCCTTTGGCCATATGTACTAAGTAGTCAATTCTTAAGTGGTTTTTAAGAATAGGACACAATTGTCAAGAACCAAGTGTCAGTTTTCCTATTTATTTTCTGTACAACTCTATGGTACTCTAGAACTGCATCTAGATAGAGCCTAACACAAATGTAGCATGACCTTCTGTGCATAAGAAACATTGCAACTTTTCTGAATCTAAATTCCATCATAGCCAGCATATAGTCTGTGAATTGTCATAGAGAGTTGGGGAACTTATTGGTACTAAACCTACTAATTCACAGCCAGTTGGTAAAGAAAAAAAAAGGAAGCATGAGTTATGCATAGATACTCTGCAAGATCTGTGATTTTCTCATGGTCATCAAATGTGTTCTGAAACTGCAATTCAAAACTGAGGTAATATCTTTACGGACTTGGGTTGAAATGGCTGAAGACCATCTGACTTCAGTTTAAAATACTTGTGTTAATCATGCCTCAAAAGAGTATCTTGACTGGGCCTATGCAGCCCAATGAGTAAAGAAAAAAAAGAACCTCATTTTAGCTGTGAAGGAGTTGCTAAATCTGCGTTCAAAAATTAATTTGGGAGGGAATCTTAGCATCTGAGATACCGAGAACAAAGGGGAAACATAATTGTGATATTAAATTATCTCTTAAAATGAGTAGAAAAATAATCTGTAGCCAAGAATGTAGAGATCTCATTAGTTTTATCATAAATACTATGCACGTGTTAATTTAATGCCCAGGAAAGGCTTGATGAGAATTAACCCCACATTGCACAGCTGGAATTGTAAAAGGCAAGTGACTTTTAGACATATGTCTGCCCAGCTACACATTATTGCTACAAGAATCAACCAACAGTCTTTCAGAGATTGCTTGTCATAGTTTTCCTTACACTTAAACTTTAAGAAATGGTTTTATATTTATAGCAGTTTATTTCATAGGAGAGTGATTTAATTCTTTAATCTTTAAGACGAATATTATTTTCTTTGTCATAATGGACTCAATTAGATTTCTCTCAGTGATAGTCTAAGGTTTAGTAGAACAGACCCAGAGACCATCACCAATTCTTAAATTACTGAATAGCTTTCCAGTATGAAATTTACTTTATAAAATATGATAAAAACATTTGATTGTCTTTTGAGGAGCCAATTTTACAAATGTAATAGTAATAATAATAAACATTATTGTATACTCCATAACAACTAGAAACCCGCTAAATCCAATTGCAGTGTGAGCTGGACCACTGTCTAGGTTACTATCACATACCAGCCCACCTCCTTTAGAAGTTCAGCTTTTACTCCATAGAATTAGAAATGAATGTATAGTTCAATTAATTAGTCCATTTGTGCACAGTAACACTGCATATTAAGTTACCAAATTCTTAGGATGAGTCAGTCAATGATATGATTTAAGGCATTCAATTATTATTAAGACAAAATTTCCAGGCCCAAAAGTTGAGGATGCTAAGTTCTAAAATGTAGCATTCCAAAAGACGTAAGCTTTAAAGAAATGCATTCTCAGGGAACTGGCATCTCCTTCCCTGGACTAAAGATAAAATTTACAAATGCAGTGGAAATTTTTGTTAGATAAAGCTTGTTGTTGTTGTTATGTGCTGTGAGTCAGTTCCGACTCATAGCGACCCTGTACAGGATTTCCGAGACTGTAAATCTT